CACACACAGAGAGAGAGAGAGAGAGCCCAGGAGACGAAACAATGGCCCAACGTGAACCTGGGCAGCTATACAGAGACCCCCCACCCATCTTTGGCTAAAAACATTGCTTTCCAAAAAAGAAAAGAAAAGAAGAGAGAGAGAGAAAAGAATAATACTAATACAAAGAAATGGAAACAGCCATGCGCAAGCACATGGCACTCACTCCCTAGCTCACATGTGCCACCGTGCACGATGCTCCCGTCACCTCCCCATGAACATGGCCACACACAGCCTTCTGGGTAAGTCCCCAAAAGCTGACCCTCCTTCTGAGGGTGGGAGCGCCAGCCCCCCCGCCCGCTGCACGCCAATGATGCGCAGCAGGGGGAATCTCCACTCCTCCCACGCCATTGGGAAGGGCCAAGAGAAACACCAGTGGGCGGCTACCCGGAAAGCGGTGGACTGAGAAGCGTGGTGCCTTCCGCTTTCCCCGAAATGCCCTCCGCAGCGTGCCACAAGAGGAGAGGGGTGCCCCGCTCTGGGGCAGAAAACAAGGGACCCACGCTCTGCTTCCCCAGAAACTGTGCCCAGAGTCATACCACGGCCATGGGTTGCCCCCCCGCCCACTCGCCGCCGGGTTTTGGGGAACTGCTTCATCAGTTTCCCTTTTCGTGGTCACGTTCTGCGAAATGGGCGCAATCAGGCCCGGCGGATTTACCAGAAACGAGAAGCACTGAGGATGCCCTTGGCTCACGCTTCAGAGGAAGTGGCGATTCACGAGCGCGTGAGCATCGTGGGTAAGTGTGCATAAGCATGGGGGGGCTGCCACAGATCTGACGAGGGGGAAAGGGCTGCAGGGAGCAAGAAGGGACGGATCCCGAAACGTCCGGGTGAGAAATAAAACTCTGGAGGGGCAGAGATGGGAGGCCTGTTTCACGGGGTACCCAACTTTGTGACCTCGGGACCACTCTAGCCCATCGTCACAAGCTGTGTGGGCAAAAGGAGGAAGGCCTGATAGATACCAGCATCAGGGCGATCAGGAAGGCGGAGCGTGTCGCAGGTAACAGGCCCACCAGAGCCGTGTGTGAAATATATTCATCTGTGGTGTAAAGGGATTTGTACACACAGGGCAGCCCAATGCGCGCCTGATGCTTGCGCACAGAAAAATTACATATACTGTAGTGGCAAACTACCACTCATTACTGAGGTACATGCCCAGATGCGCGAGCACGCAGCAGGAACACAACCAGCGCCTCGCTGAATCAACGGCGCTCTGCTACCACGATTCGTGCGCTTCCTCTTACGCAAGTGTAAACTGCCCAACGGACTCTGGACCACAGAGTAAAAAGGGTTATGGCCAGAGCGGTCGTAGCCGAATTATACAGGAGGGTGAAAGACTGAGCGCATGAGAGCTGGAAATTGGATTAAAAACGAGGGACGGTCAGAGAGAAGTGAAGGAATCGCAGGGGGTGTGTTGAAGTCCATCAAGGACCGGGAACGAGACTAGAGTGGTGGGGCTAAGTTGCACCAGTGATTCGACTCAGTTTTTCCCCCCAAGGATTTGACTCGATGCTCAGAACTCAGCCACTCCTCCGTTTTTTTTTCCTAAGGAGTAAAAACTTGTTTTTAAGAGGGTCCCTGGGACCAAAGACTCTGACTCAGATTCAGGACCAGGACTGAAAGTCTTCCCGAAACATCTCCAGGTAAAGGAGCCAGCACGTCCCAGAACAGGTCAAAACATAAGCACGCCAAAGGGTCACGTAAAAGGATGGAATCCGGAGCGAAGGAAAACCGTGTCATTTGGAAGCAGGGGATGCCCAAGCAAACCAGAAACATTAGTGGACTATGAGAGCGCCAGGACGTGGCCCGTCCTTTGAGAAGCAGCCAGGTGGCACCTCCTTCTCTTGCAGCCTTGGGTAGGGACAGGGGCTGTCTCTCGAGTGGGCCAACCCACAAAGGAAAATCTGCAAGCCCAGTCTTGCCCCACTAGATCCCAGTAACTAACCAGTCTGTGTCCTTTGAGGGGACGCAGTGCATAGGAACTCAACGAACTGGGGATCGGAGAGATGGGGGACACAAGAAAGAAGCAGCAACCGCAGCACCCTGGGGAGGAAGAATCTGTTATGCCGGTTAGGGCCTGGTGTAAATCACATCCTATGTGCGTACAGGTGTGTGTCCGTCTGTCTTTGTTTCCCACCGAGAAAAAGCACTTCCTCTTCTCCAGCCAAACAGCTAGATCCATTTGGAGAAGGAGATATAAAAGGACACTCCCATCACAAAATAATGGGGTCCCATGCAACCGTTGAGCTGGGAAGGGACCTTAGAGGTCACCGAACCCCCATCACCCGTCAAAGCAGGAAATCCACAGCTAGAGCATGGAAACACACAACACTGCCCATGCAAAACACAGCAGGTGCACATGGGGGGTGGTCCCACGTGAGGAACTACACCTGCAAGGGGCATGCGTACAGCAAAACACCAGCCAAATGCTCTCCTCCAGAGCTTCCCACCTCTCTTTCCTGTCCTTCCACAGTGGCAGGGATAAATTCCTTAAGACTAGTAGTGTGTGTAGGGAACAACAGGATGTTTCCTCTGGATGGAATCATCTTGTATCCTCTGCCGGAGGGACTGGAGAGCAGCTCATAGAGAAACAGGGAGGAAGGGAGAGAACAACTTGGGAGCAAGGCCAGCGGCGGCCTCCAGGATGTGGGCTTCAGCATCTGCCCATAAGGGACAAAGCGGCGCGTTTCGTGTGCCTCTGTGGGTGTGATTCATGAGACACAATGAATGGTCCCCCCACATTCTCACACGGGAGCATGAGAACAGCTGTGTCAGCACTGAGTCAGCAGCAGCAAGACTGCCATCTCTGGCGCTCCCTGCTTTCCTGGAAGCCCCTGAGAACCGGGCACAGAGAACCACTCCAGGTCATGCCCTTAAGACTCTCCCTCTCTCTCTCTCTCTCTCTCTCTCTCTCTCTCTCTCTCTCTCTCTCTCTCTCTCTCTCTCTCTCTCTCTCTCTCTCTCTCTCTCTCTCTCTCTCTCTCTCACACACACACACACACACACGAGATGGTGCCACAGGACGGATGCGCACATAAAAACACAGGGCGACACACATTCACCTAACACCGTAACAAAGTACACACAGCAAGGCAGCCACAGATTCACCTGAAAAAAATATAGATGGGCCATCCATCTAAGCGTGTGTGGGGAACTGCCCCAGACAACAGTGGGGTCTGCTGGGGGGTGGAAATACCCCTGGGTATTTTTATGTGTCCCCACCGCAGTGCATGTCTAAAACTCCTGCAACGGAGCCTGGCCTTCTCCTTCCACTCCTCTGGATGGATCGAGTGCGCCGGGAGAGCCTACCTGTTGCCCGTAGGCCGTTGTGGGTGTATACAACCCACACGGTTCAGCCGTTCCCAAGAGAGTTCAACCGATGACACTGCAGGAAAAACCCTTGACCTTTCAAGGGTTAACAGATCCATCCAGCAGAGAGCAAGGGAGGCGGGGGAAATCCCCGGCCACTTAGATACAACACACTCGGGATCCCCAAGGACTGAGAACCTGATTTCTTAAGCTCCCGGGCCTCTGGTTCCTTCTGCCCCACTTGTTTTCCCCATATCTCTTCCCACCACCACCACCACCACACACACACCTCAGACTTCCTGAATGCAACCCCCACTTCCCAGCTGGCTCGGACTACATGCACCATCATCCTTAGTCCCTGCAGGCTGGGAGTGACCGGGGCTGGAGTTCTGCTCAACTGGAAGGAATCTGGTTACAGATCCAGGAGACTGGCATACCCCAGTTTTTGGCTGGTCCCTCCCCAGCCCCACAGAACAACCTCTGAAAATGTGAGAGGTGTGTGTGTCAGGACTCCAGCAGGGTGGATTTGATTTAAATTGCAATCTAAACTGTAAAAATTCTATTTCTTTTTATGCCTTTTTAAAAATTAAATTTATTTTTATTGTGATATAAATCCATTTGACTTTTAAAAATCATCGACTTTCATGCACCCTGGACTCCACAGTTTGGGGGGGCACCAGGACACACACGCACACGCACACACACACAGAGGCCCCAACACAACAGTTTTTCTCGTGCTTCGGCCAATGCAGGTCCCCTAGGTGAGCTCTGGGCGAAAGACACAAGCCAAGAGAACCACAGCCAACCATGGGAATATTATTTTGGGGGTGGGCAACTAGAACTCCCAGAGGTGACGCCGTTTGGCGCATCCCGGAAGAGGGAGTCCCCTCTTCCAAGCTCTGAAACGGAGATATCCCGGAATTAGAGACAGAAAAGTTAGAGCTTTCTATGGAACACACAGAAAGGAGACCAGGAAGAAGAAGAAGAAAGAAAAAACAGACACAGCATAAATGCCGTTGAGGTCCCTAGAGTTACAAAACAGACCCTGAAACACAAAAAGGGGGGGGGAACCGCACACACTACCCCCCCCACACAGCGCGTTTCATCACTATATAGCCCTCACACAAGATTACAATACTGGGGCAAAAGTCAGCCAGCTGTTCCCAGGGAAGAAAAACACAACCGTGGATACGCCAAATTCCTATTTCAGTTTACCCACAAACAGAACATGTGGTTAAAGATTCTGTGCTTGTGCGTGTCTCACACACAAACACGAAAGACACAACCAGAACTCTGATACACAGACACACCGAGCTATAGGTCAATGATAATTTATGAGCACCCGGCTCTTTAACCACGATAACACAAAAGGCACATTTTTCTAGGCCCTAAAATCCCCAAGTTTCTTACAGACATGGGAAGGAGGGCAACGGGGTCAAGCAGCAACCAAAGTGTGCCCAGAGGGCAACCACAGGAAGAAAAAAAAACTACACACACGCACACCATCACAAAGGCCGGGAAAGAGGCTTATGAAACACACCACCTCTCTGTCACTCTTTCTCCGGGCCGTATCCCTCCGGGATAACGAAGCCACAGCCCCCCACAACAGGGGCAGAGTGGCACCCCGGGTTCTCCCACAGAGAGCCTGGCCTTACCTCCCGGCCCGCCAGAGGTGGACGTGCGTGCCTTGCGTGCGGGAGAGAGGCGGGGCCCTGCTTCACCGCTCTCTCTCGCCGGCGTCCCGCAGAGCATAGAAAAGCATTTGCCGGCAGGATCTCCGAGATCGTTCCCTCGTCTCTGGCTGCCTAAACGGCCAGGCCGGTGGTGTCGGCCCCGCTGGCAGAGTGTGCGCCTTGCTCTCCCCGCGCCACCGTCTGTCGCCCCCACTGCGTGGGGCTCAGGGTCCTGCCAAGTCAGCGGAGCGTGTTGTGTGTGTGTGTGTGTGTCTCTCTCTCTCTCTCTCTGTGAATGCGCGCGTGTGTGTGTGGGGTGAATTCCGGCCACCAGTGACTCAGCCCCCCTCCCTCCCATGGGAAAGTTGTCCCGATTTAAAGGGCTAAGATGACATCATCACACACCCCCGGGTTCCCTCCACCCCGGCCTGGGAATCCCAGACAAGGTTTGCTTCCTCGCAACCCCAACTGCTTTGACCACAGCTCCTTCCGAGGAAACGCAACGGCCAAACAACAACAGCAGCCGCCGCCACCGCGACAGCAACAACACAGTCATCTCAGCCGTGCGTTCACCGGCTGAAGACAACATGGAGACACACATCCACAGACGCCTATTCCCGGAAGACGCCACCGGTCGCCTCTGACATCGGGCAACTCGGCTCCGTGAGATCACCCAACCTCTCTACGAGAGCCACGCGTACAACGGGGCGTGCGGAACTCAAAAGCCAGGTGGAAAGAAGCACAACGCAAAGGAAGCACGTTCGTTCGCAAGATGCCCAAACGAGCCCTCTCCGTAACGCAACCGCAATGCTCAGCCCAGCCTCCTTTCCAACCCTCTCCAGACTCTCTCTCTCTCTCTCTGTTTGTGTGTGTGCGGGAAGAACCACGGTCATGCGGGCGAGCGCCAGGATCTTGCCAGTTCCTGTCCGCAGCACCCGCTTGCGTCATCTGCTGAAACCCGTAACCGTTTCCTCACTGGGTTTAAGAGAGGTTTTTTTTTCCCCAGTGAAAGCCAAGCTAAGTTTCATGGCACAGAAACCGTTCGGGGCTCGGCAGCCGCGTGCCGCTAAGAATGAGACTGCAGAGGAGCCCAAAGGAAAGCGACATCTTCCTGTGAGTACACAAGGGTGTACACAAGGTGGCTCAGCACCACACAGCAGGCCACACTAAGTACACAATCCCACAACACAGCCCAAAGGGTTGTGCCACGCCGTGGGAAGGCACGGTGCAAGAGGCTTGTGGGCGGCCCCCGTGGGGCCCGTGTGGGGCCTGTGCCATGAGTATATAGACCCTTATCCCACGCTGAGCCCCAGGGCCAGAGGGGCACCCAGGCCACAACCACAACAAAAAGACTCTCAGGCCAAAGCGAAACAAACAAATAAAGAAGACAAAAATAGTTAAAGGTGCCGCCATGTGTTTTTTGTCTTTTTAATTTTGCTTTTGCTCTTGGCTGATACGCGGGCACAAACTAACCGCGGCGACCTCTTCTAAAACAACAGCAAAAAGACCATCAGGCAAAAGCAAAATAACAAAATGAGAAAGACAAAAAAACGTTGTGACCTTTGAAAGAAGGGAGAGAACTGCACAAAGTCCACCGTCACATGGATTTCTCTCTCTCTCT